ACAAGTTTTCTTAGCATAAATTATGCTAATGAAGGACTCGTTTGCATGAGTCGTGATCTCATTTGCATATTTTCTGCAGATCTGTTTTTGTGCTGGGGTTTTTGCACAGAAAGAAGCAGGTGGATGTCTTCTTTTTGCACAAAAACCCCTTTTAGGCAAAACTGGATAGACAGAAAATATGCAAATAAGATGGCAACTTATGCAAATGAGTCCCTCATTAGCATATTTTTGCCCAGAAAACTCATAGTGTAGACATAGCCCTAGTTCTCCATTCTGAAAATTTACCATTTAGTCCTACTCTTTGTCTCCTGTCTTTTAGCCAGTTCCCAATCCATGAAAGGATCTTCCCTCTTATCCCATGATGACTTAATTTATGTAAGAGCCTTTGGTGAGGGACCTTGTCAAAGGCTTTCTGGAAATCTAAGTATACTATATCTACTGGATCCCCCTTGTCCACGTGTTTGTTGACCCCTTCAAAGAACTCTAATAGATTAGTAAGACAGGATTTCCCTTTACAAAAACCATGTTGACTTTTGCCCAACAAATTATGTTTTTCTATGTGCCTCACAATTGTATTCTTTACTATTGTTGCGACTAATTTGCCCAGTACTGAAGTTAGACTTACCGGTCTGTAATTGCCAGGGTTGCCTCTAGAGCCCTTCTTAAATATTGGTGTTATGTTAGCTGTCTTCCGGGCCTTGGGTACAGAAGCTGATTTAAATGATAGGTTACAAACCACAGATACTAGTTCTGCAATTTCCCATTTGAGTTCTTTAAGAACCCTTGGATGAATGTCACCCAGTCCTGGTGATTTGTTAACGTTAAGTTTTTCTTTTTGTCCAAAACCTCCTCTAATGACACTTCAGTCCAGGACAGCTCCTCAGATTCATTACCCACAAAGGAGGGTGCAGGTTTGGGAATCTCCCTAACATCCTCAGCCATGAAGCAAAGAAATCATTTGGTCTCTCCACAAATGCCTTTATCATCCTTGATTACTCCTTTTGTATCTCAATTGTCCAGGAGTCCCACTGGATTTTTAGCAGGCTTCCTGCTTCTAATGTACTTAAAAACATTTTGCTCTTCCTTTTTGACTTTTTGGCTAGCTGTTCCTCAAAATCTTTTTTGGCTTTTCATATTACATTTTTACACTTCATTTGGCAATGTTTTTGTTCCTTTCTATTTTCCTCACTAGGATTGGACTTCCACTTTTTAAGAGAGATCTTTTTATCTCTCACTGCTTCTTTTACATGGTTATTAAGCCAGGGTGGCTCTTTTTTAGGTCTCTTACTATATTTTTTAATTTGGGGTATACATTTACATTGAGCCTCTATTATGATTAAAGGTCTAGAGAACATGACCTATGAGGGAAGACTGAAGGAATTGGGTTTGTTTAGTTTAGAAAAGAGAAGATTGAGGGGGGACATGGTAGCAGTTTTCAGGTATCTAAAAGGGTGTCATAAGGAGGAGGGAGAAAACTTGTTCATCTTGGCCTCTGAGGATAGAACAAGAAGCAATGGGCTTAAACTGCAGCAAGGGAGGTTTAGGTTGGACATTAGTGCAGGAATAAATTACCCAGGGAGGTTGTGGAATCCCCATCTCTGGAGATATTTAAGAGCAGGTTAGATAAATGTCTATCAGGGATGGTCTAGACAGTATTTGGTCCTGCCATGAGAGCAGGGGACTGGACTCAATGACCTCTCGAGGTCCCTAGTGTTCTGTGATACGATGGTGGTGGTGTTACTTCCTGCTTGCAGAGTGGGGTGGTTTGGGGGTTTGGCTGCTCTGGGCATTTCATCATGTTCATTTCTCTCTTACCCTTACGTTTATTTCTGTGAGCAGTGAGTTCTCAAATGCAGAACCTGCCCTGGCCGGAGTCATCACCCCGTGGTCACTGCTGCCCCTGGATGTGGCTGGCCTGTCCCTGCGGCCCCTGAGAGAAGCAGAACAGGGGGTCTCCATATGCCGTCCTTGCCTGCAGACACCGCTCCTGTAGCTCCCATAGATCAGTAGCGGGGAACAGTGGCTAATAGGAGCTGCGGGCTTAGGGCCTGGAGACGAGGGGCAGGACATGGCACCACGGAGCCATCACTGTAGATGCCAGCTGTTTCTTGGGAAAGCCTTCCTCTCTGTTTTTTCTAAAGGGGTTCTTTATAAAAAAATGGTTGAGAAGGCCTGGGAAGGTTCACGGCCCCACCACTGTAACCCGGACCCAGGCCTTTGGCCCCCTCTGGCTGGAGTCTGTAAAGGAGGCCAGGGAGCTGCTAAACTGCAGGGCTACAGACGCTCCTTAACCCTTTAATTCCAATGTTAAATGCACCTGCCTTCATCTCCCCATCCCTCGCCCGAGTCTGGGGTTCACTCCCAGCTCAGGGCATGTTTCCAAGAGGCAGCAGGGTCCTGGCATCCCCAGGCGGCTGCTTTAACCCCGGGGGGTTTCCAGCCCTGGCTGGCAGCCCTGCCAGAAACCCACATTCACAGTGTAATTAAAGGGCACTAGCGGGGGACTGAACATTTTTTCAGTTTTATGACAAAACGTGGGACTATTCTGGGATGGAAAAGGCCCCACAAATAAACCAACCACATTTCTTTTCCGCATGGGGGCCTGTCGGGGTGGTGGCACTGGAGACGGCTGTGCAGGCTGCGATCTGTGTTTATGTGTGTGTGTGCATGTGAGGGTGTGTGTGTGTGAATGTGCGCATGCTCTCCCCATTCCATTACAAGGGTTGTCCTAGCTCCAATCAGCCTCACAACCAAGCTTCTGATGCCCCCAGGACCCCACTAAAATTAAACATGAGGCAATCCATCAGAGGACCACCAACACATATGTAATCCCCACATGCACATGACACACACATGGACTCACTATCACACACATGATCCAAGCCTAACAATGACACACACAATCCAGGACTTGGGATTATACATACACAGACACACACACACACAGACTCCAATACTTGGACACACACAGTCCAAGACATGATTACACACACATGATCCAAGACTTGCTATGACACACACACAAACAGACATTGTCCAAAACTCATGATCACACATGCACAGCGAACGTCTACACAACAGAGTTTTTTTCGGGAAAACGGCCACTTTTCTGAAAAAATGTGAGTTATAGCCATGCTGCAATCATGTTCTTTCAAAAGAATATCGAAAGAACAGAGGGGTTTTCCTACATTAGTTAACCTCCTTCTATGAGGAAGAAGCCTTTTTCCAAAAGTGATAGAGATGTAGCCGTGTTAGTCTGGTGTAGCTGAAACAAAAAACAGGGCTATGTAGCACTTTAAAGACTAACAAGATGGTTTATTAGGTGATGAGCTTTCGTGGGCCAGACTCACTTCCTCAGATCAGATAGTGGAAGAAAATAGTCACAACCATATGTACCAAAGGATACAATTAAAAACGTATTCCCCCCTCCCCCCCGCATCCCCCTTCTGTTCTGAAATTTGATTTGTCCTTTTCATATGTGTTCATTTTTTTAATTGTATCCTTTGGTATATATGGTTGTGACTATTTTCTTCCACTATTTGATCTGAGGAAGTGGGTCTGGCCCACGAAAGCTCATCATCTAATAAACCATCTTGTTAGTCTTTAAAGTGCTACATAGGCTAGGTAAATTACCTTTCGCCACCTAATATCATTAGCTCACAGACATTGACCTTCCTTCCCCCGCCCCCTCTCGCATCCCCCTTCTGTTCTGAAATTTGATTTGTCCTTTTCATATGTGTTCACTTTTTTTTTAATTGTATCCTTTGGTATATATGGTTGTGACTATTTTCTTCCACTATTTGATCTGAGGAAGTGGGTCTGGCCCACGAAAGCTCATCATCTAATAAACCATCTTGTTAGTCTTTAAAGTGCTACATAGTCCTGGATTTTGTTTTTCCAAAAGAGCTCTTTTGGAAAAAGGTCTGTGTGGAGGGGGAAGAGGGAGTTCTTTTGGAAGAAGAGGAAAGAGGAAAAAGCAGAGGTGCTCTGGTGGCTACTCTGTCCATAGTAATCACAGCTTACATGTGAGTGTGGACGCTGTCAGTCGAAAAGCAGATCGCTTTTTCAATGTGATTTGTCAGTATGGATGCTCCCTTTCCGAAGAAGTTTTTCCAGACAATCTCTTCCGGAAAAGCTTCTTCTGAAAGAAGGCTGCAGTCTAAAGATAGCCACAGAGTCTAACACACACACAGGAAGACACACAATATCCGAGATTCACTATTAGGGTATGTCTACAGAGGCATGTAGATTAGGCTACCCGGCATAGGGAAATGAAGCTGCGATTTAAATAATCACAGCTTCATTTAAATTTAAATGGCTGCCGCGCTCTGCCGACCCGCTGATGATCAGCTGTTTGTCAGCAGATCGGAGCAGTTTGACGTGCTGTGGTCGACAAGGAAGCCTTTGTCGACCAGCGCAGGTATGCCTTGCGAAATCAGGTTTACCTGCGCTGGTTGACAAAGGCTTCCTTGTCAACCACGGCACGTCTAGACTGCCCCGATCTGCTGACAAACAGCTGATCATCAGCTGGTCGGCAGAGTGCAGCAGCCATTTAAATGTAAATGAAGCTGCGATTATTTAAATCGCGGCTTCATTTCCTTATACCGAGTAGCCTAATCTACATGCCTCCATCGACGGAGGCATGTAGTCTAGACATACCCTTACAGACAGACAGACAGACAGACACATGACCCAAGAATCACTCCCCTCCCCAAACACACACACAGACACCTGCTCCCATCCAGTTTTCTTGTGTCTGTTTTATTCTGTTAATCCTGTTACAGGGGAAGGGAATCTAAACCCTGTCACAGCAGCGCGGCTCCCCAGGGTGGCGGGGCTGTGCCGCAGAAGGGGGGATCAGGAGAGGCCGTTCACCAGCAGTACGGTAAGGAGGGCTGGGAGGACGAGTCCGGCTGGTTCCAGAGCCACAGTGGCCCCGCTGCATTCGGCCTTGGTGAGATCCACATCAAACTGCATGAAGACCCCTTTCAACTGTTGTATATTAGTGCAGGCAGACTCACTGACGCAGCCTTTTATGGTGGACTTTATGCTTGTCTCACCTGTGGGAGTCAAAGCAAGAGGGTCAGTGTCTGGGAACCCATTTGGGAAGCCTTTTATGTCTCTGGTCCTATACAACATGGTCCCCTTCCCCCTTCTGTGCCACACCCTGCTGCCCATCTGGGACCCCCCAACAGTCTCCCTTCCTCTGCTCTGATGCAGTGTCACTCAGTGAACCCCTGATCTCTAACGATCTAACAGGTCGATGTCAATCCCACCATTCACCTGGCAATGGTGTTGCTCACTGATGGTGGCAGTTGTGGGATCCTTAACCAGTTCTCATCCAAAGGCCCTGTACAGACCCTGGCACACGGGGACTCCCAATTTTGGCAACAGCAAGTGTGAAGCAGAGGATTCACCTCAGCCAATGGGTCTGTGCAACACCTGGAACAAAAAGGCCCCAATCTCAGTTGGGGCATCTGATACACTGTTCCACAACCAGTAAAAAGGAAATATCTCTGGCACTTCCAAGTCCCACCAGCTGGGAGATTTCTGCAGCAGACCCAGGCAGGGTGTGTTTGTACTGTCACTTCATTTGTATTACTTTAGAGTCTGCTAGTCTACAAATCGAGAGACACCAAGGCAGTCTGGGGCCCTTGCACAGGGTGCTGAGCACAGGAGAGTATCCTACCTCAATTGGCAGCCAGCACTAGATCCTGCACAGAAAGGTATCCAAACCACTGATATGAGGGTTATGGCTAATAGCTAGAAATCAGTGTAAGACCAGAAAAATAAGGTTCAACTTTTTTTAATCATTCATTATGATCACTCCAGCTCTTCTTGATAAGCAAAGATCTTTTAGAATCTTACATAGCTCTTGACTACAGCAGTTTCTAGTGGTGGTGAGTTCCACGGATTAACGGGTTAATGGCTGGAAAAAGCATTTAGTTTAATCATAGTTCACTTCTCCCTTTTCAATTTCATCTCCTCTCTTATACCAGAGACTGCTCAAAAATTCTCCGGTGCTCTGAGATTTTTCAGCTCAAACCTTTCTGCAGTTAAAAATAGAAATTTCAACACATTTTGTGAATTCAAATTCATCAGACTGTTTCAGTCAGAAGAGATCCCCATTTAATGTTCCCCACCACAGGGGCCTGCCTATACATGTGGTGGCTCCGGGGTGAGGAGATCGGACAGAGAAACAGCAGGATGCCAATTACCACCTTTCACTGTGGTGCTGATATGCAGGCAGTGTGTCTGGGTGCCTGTGCAGTCGATGATCTCTTCATTGCAGTGATGGGAGAACACAGAGTAGCAGGCTGGACAGCGCCGGCCGTTCGGGGTGGCGTTATACGGAGGCACTAGGAAAAGTGGAACAAATGAAATCAACTTAGGGGACGAGCCCCAGGGGGCAGCGGGGCAGGGAGAGCAGCTGGGGGCTGCACTGCTCAGCCCCGGATCCCCCTGCAGGGGGCGCTGCAGCTCTGGGGCACAGGAGGTAGCAGGGGCAGGGAGAGGTTTGCAGCAGGAAATCCTAGATCCGATTCAGGTGGTGCAAGCCTAGAGCCCCGCCCACCGACTTCCCCCCCCAAAGAGGGGTTCAGGGTTATCCAATGGGGAAATAAAGGCTCTTTCCTAATCCCGTTCTCTCTTCCCACAGGGAGGCCTGAAGGGGCCAGGCAGGGCAGGGGGCGCGCGGGAGCAGACAGGCTGGAGAAGAAGGCAGGCGCTGTACCGCTAACAGTGGCTGTTTTGCAGGCCTCCCCGACACAGCAGGCGACATTCCCGCTCACAGAGATCCCGTTCCCAAAAGTCACATAGTGGGATGTAAAGTTGCACAGGCTGGAGGGCACACAGGCCTTCACAGTGAACGGGCTCTTCATCCACCCTACATGGGAGAAAGAGGAGATGAAGCTTCAGGTCTCTGCTCCCCTCCCCCCCCCCCCCCCCCCC